TCTAAATGCCATTATGCTTTGGTTTTGAAATGTATCCCTGTTTATACTTGAGGACATGTATTTATGGCCCTCAATCTCTTTTTGCGAGTCTCTAAGTTATTTCCAACTTTTTGGTCCTTCTGTTCTAAAATATGTGAAATGTTGCTATCAAAAGATTCCTTTTCCCCATTTTATTAGAACTATAATTGAGAAGCATCTGTACTTTCATAAGGTTTGCCTTGTAAAATGCAGATAAGACTGCTAAATCACAGTCTGCACTTTCATTAGACTGAGTTATTTCTCCTTTTTGTTGTTGCAACTGTCATAATGATGGTATAGGACTTCTACTTGAGCAGGACTAGATCTCTAAGGTCCCTTTCAATTCTGTTATTCTAATGAACAACACAGGACTAATTGACATGGACTCTGTTTCCATGAACTATTTTTGATGTACTGAGTATGTTCGTGCTTAGTATATTCACTATTTGTAGTTGTATAAGTATTATTTTTTTCATACCTTCATTGGATACATTGAGTTGAAAATAGGACAGATATGACTGGCAATACTTCAAATTTTAAATGTCCACTAATTCTGATGGTCGCATGTCCAGCACCAAAGTTGAACATTAACTTCAGTATCAAAGCTAGTCTGTATTACAGGAATCCAGAATAGTCAGAATACTAACAATTGTACTACGGACTTATTCCTATACGAAAATAGAATGTGAAACCTTCATCACAACTCTCTCTTCCCATGGCTCTCTGGGAAGAGTAAATTACTAAAGATATATTAACTGTTAGTATAGATGCACTTTTAATTTTACACAAACACATCTGTGCATTTTATTGAGCATGTGTAATTACAGTATGGATTTCCATTTATCAGAGACATCAGGATAAATAAAATGAAAGTTTGTAATTTTAATAAGTCCTGGATAAACAGCTCCATGTGGCCGGATGCCAACATCAGCACTTCATTTTAATGATAACTACAGTTCTGGTGTTCATTCCGAAATCCTTAAATGTATTTAACAACCTGTTTATGCTTGGAAAGTATTGAGTTTATGGGGATGGCTAAATGAAGCAGATAAGTATATTATGTAAAACTGTATTCTGAAATGCTTATTCTAGCAGTTAGTATGCATCTGGAGTGAATTTGTAGACTGTTATGTTATGGTTCCATGCATATTAAATACAGGATATTCATTTTAATTTAGAAACACATGGTTATATAGAAAGCACAAAGAAGTCAATGAACCTATCTGAGTTTATGCTTAGTTAAAACTGGCATTGCCATTTGGAAATCAGCATTAATATTGCATTCTTCCAAACATCCCTTGTATATAGTTGATGAAGCATTCAAGCATGAATCAGCAGCAGTAGCCATTAACATTTTAATCTCTGATATATATTAAAACTTTGTTTGACACAATGGCTTTATTTTTTTTTTCTTTCTTCAAACTAATTTTCAGGTAAAAAAAATTAAACCAGTAGGAAGAACCAACTTTTTCCACTTAACTAACACATCTATTGCATCTGTGGCTGTATTACTTTTCTTTGCCAGATCGTATTTTAGTTGGCAATAGTGTGGTAACCAATTTTTTATGGATCAAAAGAATACACTGTTATGCTTCTATTCATGTGCCAACAATCATCTCCATTACTCAAGGCTGATAGTTATTGTCTCTACACACCTGCTATAAGCTATGTTCACCGAGTATACAGGAGCCTGTTTTCTACTTATTAAATAGCCAAAAGGGTTCTGTTCCCTTGATTTGAGGTATGTCTAAATACAATTCTTTGAGCACTATCCTGGCATTAAGAGGAATTGTATAAACAGAGACACATTTCCATTATACGATTTTGGCTTCATATCTTTTACCCTGTACAAACAGATGTAAGGGCACAGTCATTCATAAGATTCGAACCCCTTGTAGCAAATTCTATCTCAAAAAGTTTATTTCTTGTATTAGTAGTTACATTTTAAAACTGGCCTGTGTAACTATAATATACAGTATGTCTAATATACATCACCCACAATCTTCCTCTTGATAGAAGGAGAGAATGCTTTCATGTATAGGCTCTGAATATGATTTCTGAATACACAAAATTGCGGTCAGGAAACCAGAAGGAATACAGAAAAAGAGCTAATGTGGTGTAGTGAATAAGGTGTTGGTTGAGCACTGGTGAGACTCAACATCTTGTCCAGTCTTAACTATGAAACACTTTCTGGTGACTTTGCATCAATGATTGTCTCACAGTCATGGTGAAAAAAGGTAAGAGAGAATAGTGGGATATAAAACTAATAAATAATTTAAATATTATAGAGAGGTAGAAAATTTATAGTTGGTACATTCATAATGCTTTCCCTACCATTCTCTGGTCCTTATGGTAATTGAATGTAAATTCAGAAATTAATCCAAATTATATGTAGTATGTGTTTGTGAGTGTGTGTGAGAGAAATCCTAAACATCCTGAGTAACCAATCAATAAGGCAATTACTTGCCAACAACATTTTACCCAGATTGGATTAAAACAGACTGATTCTAACAGCAGCACTGCAAGGATGAAACACAGTGAAATTGCAAGAATGAGGTACCTTAGGAAGGTTGTTGCTTCTTTTTAGGGGACTTTTTTTTAGGACAATAATTACATAAGTATAAAAATCATAATCTCATGTAGTGCTGAATTACAAACTCCTTCTACAAAAAAGAATCCCTCCTTCTCCAAAAGAAAGAAAGAAAGAAAGAAAGAAAGAAAGAAAGAAAGAAAGAAAGAAAGAGAAAGAAATTTCCCTTCTTCTTCCATCTTACAGCATTTTAAGATCGCTTTTGATTTTCTTTTTGGTGGAATTTTTGAGTCCATCTCCTCCTTTCTCTCTCCTACATATTTCCATATTGTATGTTGATGGCATACAACAATTCAATATATTTAGATAGTCCATCTCTAAGATATTTTGAGTGCTGTGCTGTGATTTCCTACTCATAATGAGAGATTGGGAGTACTTCATGACAGAACATTTGGTTATAATAAATTTGCAATCACACCCCCTATCAAAAAATATAATTGGTTATCAACTGCAGGCTCGAATCCTTGTAGATCGGGGTGTCAAACTCAAGACCTTCAGACCAGATCTGGCCCATGGGTTGCTTAGATCTGGTCCATAGGCTACCCTGAAAACAGCGAAAGACTGGCCAGCAGTGCCTCTACCAGCGAAAATGAAACTCGGAAAGGTTGCGTGTGGCCCTCTTGAGTTCCATTTTTGCTGGCAGAGCAGTTGGGCCACCACAGGCATCCCCAACACGAGTGATGTAGAGCTGGCCATGTCCACCCCAGCCACGTTTACCAGGCCCCTAAGGTCAAACACAACCCTGATGTGGCCATCAATGAAATCAAGTTTGACACCCCTGTTGTAGATTTTTAAAAAGATATTTTAACCAAAATTTAAAGTTAATAATTCATTCCCCCATCTCCATATTGGCTAGCAGCTGTGGTGGCACAGTGGTTAAAATGCAGTATTGCAGGCTAATTCAGCTCACTGCCAGGAGTTCGATTCTGAACGGCTCAGAGTTGACTTAGCCTTCAATCCTTCTGAGGTTGGTAAAATGAGGACCCAGATTGTTGGGGGCAATGTTCTGACTTCGTAAGCCACTTAGAGACTGCTGTAAAGTACTATGATATGGTTTATAATTATAAGTGCTACTGTTATTGCTAATAAAACCACTTCAGCACAGAGAGAGCTCAGCTGAAGACTCGTTTTGGCCCCTTGCAGTGGTTTCCTCAAAAATATAAACTCAATTTCTTGCTATGTGTAAAATTAATCCAGAGGTTTAACTGACTTTCTGGAGGCATTATTCTTAAGTCATTTTTATCAAAACTGAAATATTGTTCCTCTATTGTGAGAAAAGGAAAACAAAATAACAACCTTTTTTAGGGTTTTGAGATAGATATATGAGTGATGTTTACCTGAAAGAGACTTTCGAAGTACATTTATACACAGGAATGCTCTAAACTAGTTTAAAGTGAACCAACAGTAAATGATCTTTGGAAAAGGGAACTACTATCTCTGTTGATGACTGTGATACAATTAACATGCCATCTGCATAATAACAGCTGTCCCTTACTTTTCTAATTTTGAATTGTGATGGTCTACTATGCTTTTATATCCCATCATGGAATTGTGTGGACCTTTAATAATTGGACAAGACATCCACAATTGATAGAGGCATTAAATAATAACTGGACAAGGGTACTTCTTGCTTTACCCTTCTACTTGATATCCTTGATATTGAGATTACCCAGAAATGTATCTGAATTGTATTTGGTGCTTGAATATTTTAGCACATAAAAAAAAATCTCAGTAACGTAGCAATAGGGATATAAGAATGTGGCATCATAAATCCATTTTATCCAAGACTGTCATACTACAGTGATAGCTGTATCTCCCCAAAGTGTTCATTTGGGACACACCACAGGAAGCCAGTGTAGCCTGCCCCTGAGGCAGAAAGCAGTTTTGATGTGCAAGGGGAAATATGGAAATTGTGAAGGCAGAATAGCAAGTTTTCTTACATTAAGAAGTTGGCATGCATACAGTATTAGTCTCGGATGGGTTAGCATTGAATCTTGTTCTCAAATGGATAAAAGTGTGTAGACACTTCTGAATCAAAGCAGAATCAAAGAAAACAGCATCTGAGGAACTGCAGCAGCAGAGACAGCTCATCAGCCTCTCCTGTATGACTCAGACAGATACAAGAAACTCTTGTCCAGGCTTCCTGTTTCACTTGTCAATATAAGATTGGTGCTAGCGGCAATCCAATTCTTTTCTTTTCAAGTCAGTCTCTATCATAACAGGCCAGCTTTTCCAGTGTTGGTGATAAGATTAGAACTTTCTTTTACTAGTAGTCTCATTGATTTAATTGTCACAAGATGAAGAAACGGGCTGGTTTTCAACAAGAGTTTGATAGATTTATGAGCAGCGCTGTATGTTGAGTTCCTAACCTTTGATTTTTGATTATCCATAGGGAGATGGAAAGTCAACTCTCTGCCAAAACAGACATATATATGATGGACCATTAAAGGCAAATGTGGAATACAGAAGCAAAACTGAAGAACAGTCTGACATACAGAACATCCCTGGCTCAAAACCAACTATCCTTCCTTCTATCATTAGTACTATTTTTCTTTTCTCTTGTGCGTCTTTTTAAAAAAATAGAATTAAATAATTCCACCAACGTTCCATTGTAATTTTTTTTCAGTCTGTGTTGCCTAATTAAAAAGAAAAAAGTCCAGCACAATAATAGGTAGCTCATGGGAAAATAATAATAATAATAATAATAATAATAATAATAATAATAATAATAATTAAAAGTAAAAGTAAACAAACATAAAGCATTTTCAATCTATGAATGTTCCACATGTCAGAAAAGTATTATTAATCATTATGCTAGAGAGATCAATGTTCTATAACAGACATCAAAACTTATAGAATGAAGGGGCATTTCTAACTTTGTTTAGTAGTCAGTCAAAGTGCAGGCCTAGCTTAGAATAAATTAAAATGTATCATAAATTTACATGGTAGTGCCTGTGCTGATAGAAACTGAATAAGAATTTTCTGGAAGAAGCATTGAAAAAATGCACCGCAGAGTCACTTTCATGATGAGCAAACATATTATCTTATTCCTGACCCCAAAATTGTTTGGTAACCTTTACGGGTAATCCTTGCTTAAGGACCACTCACTTAATGACTCTTTAAGTGACAATATGTTCAAAAAAAGTTACTTATACCATCCTAAAAGTTACACAGTCACCCACATTCACACAATCACATTTTAGGCAATTGATAACTGACTCACATTTATGACTGGCTGCAGCATCCCAGTTGACCACAATTTGTGATCTTATTTCCTGGTTTCCAGTGGATTTTTTAAAACTAATTTCCAACAAAATATGCCCATTGATTAAGCAAATCAATTGAGAATCGATTTGCTTAACAACTATGTGATTTGTTTAATGATCGTAGTGATTTGCTTTAGACCATTGTAAAAATAGTTATAAAATCAAGTTAGGTCATATAGTGACCCATTTAACAACCCCAATGAATTACAATCAAAACTATGGGGCCAGTTGTGATTATTAAGTGAAGACAACCAGTACTATTTTTTTTATTAAAAAGTTTTATCAAGTATTACAACAATTTTTCCCATCCCTCCTCCCCCCATCCCGTCCTCCCCTACCCCCCATCCCTCTTCCACCCCCCATCCCTCTTCCACCCCCCATCCCCCTCTGCCTCCAACCCCCCTCTCCTCACCCCCCACCCCGGACTTCCCAGAGCAAATACAGGGTATAACATTTAACAAACATAAACTAAAATATGCTAACTTTCTTTAATGTCCAAACTCCCTCTTGCTCTTTAACTCCCCTTTCTTCTAACAAAACATAATTCAAAAAGAAAATTTTAGTTTCATTCATAGGCTATTTTAAACTTTTTAGTCCGATATTTGTTTTGAATATAGTCAATCCATCTTCTCCATTCCGATATATATCTTTCATTTGAATGGTCTTTCAAGTATGCCGATATTTTTGCCATCTCTGCTAAGTTCACTACTTTTAGTGTCCATTCTTCAATAGTAGGTAAGTCTTCCTTCTTCCAATACTGCACCACCAGAAGTCTGGCTGCTGTTATTAAATTTAAAATCAATTTAGTCTCTATATCCATACAATCTGTAATTATACCCAACAGAAAGAACTGTGGAGTAAATTTTATCTTCTTCTTGAGAATGTTTTGGATAATCCACCATATTTTTATCCAAAATGCCTTAATTTTTTTACATGTCCACCATATATGATAATATGTAGCATCATCACATTCGCATCTCCAACACTTAGGTTGCAAACTTGGATACATACAGGCTAGCTTTTTAGGATCTAGATGCCATCTATAAAACATTTTATAAAAATGTTACATTTCTAACCCATATTTTTTCCCATGTTTCCATCATTATTGGTTCTTCAATATTCTGTGCCCATTTTATCATACAGTCCTTAACTAGCTCTGTTTCTGAATCTATTTCTACTAATGCATTATACAACCTTTTTATATGCATTTGACTTTGATCTCTAATCTGTTTTACCAAGTTCTCCTCATTTTGCAAGATACCAACTTTCTGATCTTCTCTCCATCTAGTACTATTGATGGGGTGATCTGATAGATAATGTGATGAACTACTGTTAAACAGCTGTTTCCTGGGAAGACTGGAGCATATTCAAAGGAGGGAGGTGAACAAGAAACAACACAGCTGGATCAAAGAAAGAGGAAGAAATTCATTGTAGTCCATCACAGATAAGTAAATTGCTAAAATGAGCTGAAGTGTCGTCATAATATATGAAAACCTGCATATGTGTTGAAATGATAACAGACATTAATGATCATCAAACTGCTGCAAGAAATGGTGAAGGAAATGCTATTTTTCTTCACAATGATCTTGCACTTTCAGTGATAGTGAAAAGACAAGGATATTTACCAGGCAATTAAATGAACCAGTTTCTCAGGATCAGCTATGTCAGCAACCAAAAGTTATATACTCCACAAGGCCACAACCATCTTTTTTCTTAAACTATAGCAAAGGTGGTTAAAAAAAAGACACTGAAATTAAATTACAGTGAGTATATGAATGGATTCTTTTGGACAAAGGGAAATCAAAGTTTTTAAGTGAGTTTATCCTTATATTAATAAAGTTTTTTAAAAATCTATCCATGGAGTTTCGTGTGTCTGGGAAACTTCAGCCAGGTTGGAGCCAAGTCTAGCCAAGTCAGGTGAATGATGTGAATTATTGCTGAATTGCTGTTAGTTAGCTTGCCAATTGGTTCGAACACCAAAGCTATAATTTATTTTATGAGTTTCCTGTTATGATCCAAAGTACATTATATCATGAACCTTGATACTTACCTTGAACAAATGTTAGGTTATATTGAATCAGTATGTACGTTAGTTTAAATAAGATGCTCCACTACTGATATGTTCAACTAGATACACTATTTAAGAATACTATTTAGTGGTTTCCAAACCACCCATTGTGCTAGAAAGAAGTTCCCTGAAGAGGGGCTCCAGCAGGAAGACTAAACTCTGGACCCAGTGACCGATGCAGATTGGATCCTGCAACATTATCCTGAGACATGTATATTTGCCTTCATTCGTTTCCAAATCACTTTCCAAGATGAGGTACCATAAATAAAATACACAACAGCCAACATGGTTTAATTTTTGTTTTAAAGGAACATGGGTTATATAAATCTGAAGTTAAGCGTTTCAAATGTGATTGAAAATAGTATTTCATTCAGAACAAGTAAGAAATCATTGCTGGGACTTAGCAAACAATTTATATTCTGTAACTGATTTTTACCTTTTCACTGATACAAAAGTCATCTATGTCATTTCCAAGTTTTGAAAGGATTAAAGATTTCTCAGTTTTTCCAACAGATTTATGAATTATGGATAATAAATTTCAGTTACACTATCTAGTATCACCAATTTTAGAATATGATCTTATATGCATTTAACCTGTGAGAAAGTTCTATGGAAAAAAAATAAGATTTCTAAACTGTAACATATATAGGACTGACTACTAATTTTATGGAGATCCTGTGTATCAAGTGGCTGTTCCTGACCTTATGTACGTACTGTATATAATACATAAAATGTATACAATGCTTTCTGAATGTTTATTTTGAGTTCACTATGCGCTATATTATAAGCTCTATAATGTTTATTGAATAAACTGCTGTTGTTTATATTATTTGATTTCTTAAATATCATTTAAATTCAAAGGCTAGTTTTATATGAAATACTGTATGTTAAACCCAAATCAAACAAAGTATATCATACACTGTGTTTGGCCAGGCAACTACATTGCCAAATTTTATTCCTTTGTTCAAATAAATATAAGTATAGTTAACTCTCAACTTACAACCATGATTGGGACTGGAATTTTGACCTTAAGTCATTACAGTCATAAATCGAAGCATTATTTGATCAGACTCAATTTTAAGTCCATTTTTATTGTGGTTGTTAAGTGAATCATAATGACATTAAATGAACCATATGATCATAGTTGCAAACACTTTTTAATCCAATGGGCATTTTTTTTGCCAGAAAATGGCAAAAAACCATTACAAAACACAAGCAAGTGATCACAGGATGCTGCAATTGGTTGTAAATCATATGGTCATAACTTCAGAGATGAATCATAAGTAACTTTTTGTGAGTCCATTGCAATTTTGAATGGTTATTAAGTATGTTGAGGACGATCTGTACATATTATTGCAATTACACAAGTTATTTCACTGAAGCTATATGTCTTACAGTAGCTACTGTAACAGGAAAAAGACTGAGGCTGTCTCAGCTTAGCTATAGATGATTGCATGCTTTAGAAAAGAAAAGATTTTAATTTTCACAAACTTGCCTAACTCAATGGACACCTTTGGAAAAACTAAGCAAGGGTACAACTGGTTAGTACTTAGATAAGAGATTACCAGAAAACACCAAAACTGGATTGGAAATTGAAATATATCCAGGAAGAAGATAAATCATTTTCATATTATTGCTATAAATCTACATGAGCATGTCCATGGAGATACCAAGAGCTGAATCTGACTCAAACAAGCATTTTTAGTTTATAATTCTCTCCTTTGACATAATCTCACTTTGCTCATGCTTGCCATTCCCAACAATTTCTATCACTCTTAGTTCCCAAATATCAGGTAACAATGAGATTGGAATAATCAAATATCAGGTAACAATGAGATTAGAACAGTTAGACTAGGAAAAAGGAAGAATAAGTAATGCAGGTTGGGAACACCTGCTAGCTGGACAATTATGTAAAGCAAGAGCTGGAGAGAAACGTACAGTGAATTAATGGAAGCAATTTAGTTTCAATTGCAACTTGTCTTTTAGTAAACTCCTGCTTGATTATTAATTGGTAGCATATGCCATTCGAAACAAAGCAAATTACACGAGAAAGTTTTTCTCTCTTTGCACATTCTAAAATCTAATGCGTGAATTCAGCTTTTTCTTACAATTCAACTTAAATCTCTGTGGATACATAGCATAAAGAAAACAATATATCAGTTAAGTTATTTCTATGTGCTCCGTTTTGAAAGTTAAGGAAGAATAACTTTGTTTATGAAAGAGATTGCAGAAAGTCAGACACTGACATTTAGAAATAGATTCTTGGAAG